CAGTATAAAATATTATTACAATCTCAACCGTTAAATACATATTATATTATTATACTATTTATCCGATGCTCCTCGGTCACTGAAGAAACATTATCAACGGGACATGGCGTATAATTATTATGTACCACAGTAACCAAACGATATCGCATAGTTGAATATAATCAACTTTTGTTTGTGCACACGCAACCACATGTGGTTACAGATAAATGCATACAAATGATAGCTAAAATAAGATGATAAAATGTTACCATCTGGTACAATATTCATGTCATTGGTAATGCATTTTGGTGTACCCATAAAAAACGCACTGCACGGAGACACACGACCATTAAAAACTCGAGCAGTTGTGAACTCGGGTTTATTATACTTTTTAACTTGACTTAAACTACTCTCTAAATTTGTCTGTTATCTCTAAAAACAACCTCTGTGATTTTCGTCAAATTAATAGAGTAGTTTTTGAGTATATAATCTACAAACATACATTTGCTTTTAAGATATAGTATTGTATATGCATGCTTCTACCTCATCTGCACGAGTTAACAATGGCAACCATTTTAATACAAAAAAAAATAACCAATTTCTACTGGTTCTATTATAATCTACCAACCATTTATCAACAAAACAACCAATTTCAATTTCCATCGGGAATCTCAAAATCCTTGTGGAGGATTTCTTTAAAAAGTGCATTTTGGAAAATCTTTTCTTAGTAGATCATAAAACGTTACTATACTGACCAAATTTCATAGGCATATCTTCAGCGGGTCCCGTCTAGGAAATGATGAATCGATCAGTCAGGACAAGTTCTTTTATATAGATTTTATATACAATTATTTTTTATAAGTACACAATGTATTAATTATGATTATTTAATCATATAATTTTTTTTTTAAAACAAAAACTTTCTATAATGACCTTAAAATTAAAAAGTATTTTGAATTTGAAATATTACCAAGTGGTGTAATTTTCCCATCCCTGGTGCATACCAAATAATTATTTGATCAACTCTTTTGCTTTGTAGGATTAATTGCATTAATTGAAATGATAGATTAAATGGCAGTAGTGAAGCAAGGTATATGTTTCAATTTTCAGAACATAGAATGCACGCATTAAAATAACATTAGGGTCCTCTTTACTTTTTACTTACAACATTGTGTAAGATAATATTTAGATAATTCGTTACGAAAGATAAACACAGCACCTTAAAACACACACCGGTATTTATGCGTTCTGTATAGAGTTTAGACCGACAAACGTAGTTTTTTTTTTTTAACTAATCTGTAAGATCTATAATATAAACAAATACAATGTATAGTGTACAGTACATTTTAAAACCGGAATACTTTATTATATAATATTATGTATATTCATTGTGTCTCTTAAGATAATCAACTAAAACTGAATAGAAACAAGAAGAAAAATGCCATTCGTCGCGTAAATATTTCCTTTTGCGGAGAATATTAAGAGACGGTAAACGCAGCTCATTCAAAAACGTCGTTACCGGTGACCTTTGGGAAGTCTGTAGTTATATGTTCAGTAGTTTCCATTACCTAATCTGCACACTGTACGTTAAATACGTAACATCGTATCTCGAACACGCTGTATACACCCACTCACGCGACCCTACGACGGCGGTATTATCATCACGTGCCAGTGAAACAGACGAGTTATGCTGATGATTCGCTTGCTGGAAAATTCACTCTGTCCCCTATACACGGTGGAAAATGAATGTAAATTACGCGTTATTGTAATATTATCCTACCTCGTACTTGGGTAAGCGAAACCATCACGAATCACGATGGGGGGGGGGGGGAAGTGCCACAGAGGTTCACACGAAAATCGAAACAAAAATATAATACTATATAAGCAGTGCACACCTTTAGAACTTTTATATCAGATATTATGGATGCAAGTCAGGTTGGCCGTCCAGCTCTTGCGGACTTCGTTTGCAAAACCGTTCAGTTTGCATTCACACGCCAATGAGAGGCGGTGAGAGTCGAGTTTGTTCATAATATTATAAACTCAATACTGATTTAGACACATAATATTACTTTTTATGTATGGAATAATTAAAAAACAAAAAACGTATTTAAAAAATAATCAATCAATCATAATATACCTATTAACATGTTGTATCTATACATAACGTCATTCATAATACGATTTCATAACATACATTTTGGAAAAAAAAAAGACACGTACATAACTATAAAACGTTTTAACTCGTTCAATCAAACAAGATTCATTTTGTTTTTTGACCATTTTTTTGGTCTTAAAGTTAAATTGTATATACATTATATACCAGATACCTTACCTATATTATAAATGTCTAATAATTATTTCCACAAAATTAATTTCTGAAGGTAACCAAAATATTGATTCAAAACACTACAATGAATTAATGTGTAATTAATTATATTATAATAATATATTCTTACACTTATACATCCTATAGTTCTTCTGTCCAGTAGGTACACCCGGTTTTTTTACAGATCAGTAAACTTTATTGAAATTCCGGGTAGGGACAAAAATGTTCATAACATTCCCTGAAAATATCCTTTCATGAATAGATTATTGAATGTTCAATTAATATTGACCATGCCTGAATTGCTTGAAAATTAAAAAAGTTTATAAATTGCTGACAACGGTTTTCATTTCAAATTTTAATTTTCTTCGAAAGACATTACATGTAGATATGTTGTGGACTAAAAAAAAATTAAAGAGTTTATTTATTACTACAAACATTTTTTGACAAAAACAACACAACACACAAAAGAAATATAAAACTTATAAGTATAGTGTAACTGTATACAGTATACATTATCCCACCAAAAACATATATGTAAAATGAGAGCCAAGTTCAATACTATAATATATGCCTTAGTTGTTGACTTCAACGACAAAAGAAGTGAGATCTAAATGGGTGCCAAGTTAGGATAATATATTGAAGCCTAAGGTGTGACTTGGCTACTTTTCATATACGAATTATTATTATAAGTACCTACTAAAACAGTAATGGAAGAGTGAAGATGATTTTCCGAAGAATAAAATAAGAACTCAAAGCTTTAGAACTTGCAAATGCTATAATATATAATTCGTAGCCAAGTCAGACCTTAGGCTTCAATATATTATCCTAACTTGGCACCCATTTAGATCTCACTTCTTTTGTCGTTGAAGTCAACAACTAAGGCATATATTATAGTATTGAACTTGGCTCTCATTTTACATATATGTTTTTGGTGGGATATCATTACTTTTTGTATGTAAATTATTATAACCTAACCTAACCTAGCCATGACGTATTCTATAAATAAAGTTTATTACTATATAATATAATTTAGTTACTAATATTAATAATAATATTTATTATAAAATATTTTCCGTTTTATATACAGAGTATAAAATATATATAAAATTAATATACAATTATTTTAACTCTTTTTGAGTATATTTTTAATTATCATAATTTTATTGACTGTAGTTTCTACTGTTGGGTGGATAATTCATAATTTGTAAGAATAATTATTTAATTATTTTAATTGTAATATTAAAAAAAATAATATTAATTACATACATAGATTGAAAAAAAAATATGTTGCTGCACACGGGTCGACAATATCGACACATATTCGGCTAGTCGTATTTTTGGAGCGGCGATACGGGAAAGGTTATTTAAGTCAACATTACATTAAACTAGAGGCAATTCATTAATAAATTGAAAAATTAAACACAATAGATAAAATAAATAAAATCAATTGATTAAAAAATTAAAAAACTAAAAATTAAAAATTAAAAAATTTTAAATTAAAAATTTTCAAGTTTCTGATTTTTTCCTTTGTATTTACCTAACTACCTATCTGTATGCCAAATTTGAACTTTCTAGGTCATCTGGAACTGGGTTAGAATTTTGATCTATAGGTAAGTCAGTGATAAAAATGACGATTTTCGGACCTTAATATCTAAATAACGGTTTGAAGTGTGTTTATGAAATTTAGAGCACATATGTATCTCGTTAGTCTCAATATATGAGCCAAATTTGACATGTTTATGTGGAATAGTTTTTGAGTTATGAGGGGGTCAAAAGTGGCTCCAAATGGTTCGTGTAATATTACACACGGTGCTGCTCGCCAGTTCTGTTAGCTAGAACTTGGCTTGACACGCTACCGCGTGTCTAGATATATAGGTATCTATTTTATATATAGCTTCTTCAAATCATGCACTGTAACATTTTTTAATAGGTAGGTACCTAATATGTATATCTTAATTTTTATTTTTATTTTTACTACATACAGTTGTAAACACTAAACTTTACAAATAGAAATAGAATGTTGATAAAACATACTATTGTCAGTATCCACTTAGATAATATTTGCAGTTTTTTGTTGTTAATGTACATTGACGATTAAGCATCTTCAGCTAGGTACCCAATCCTGCAGATTTCATACAAAATAATATTAGTTTATCAATCAGGTAAGGTTAGGATAGGCATGCACCGACTTTAATTGTATGATACAAGGGTAGGCTGCTGTTTGGGTGGACTACAGTGGCTGAATAATATAATAATAAATGTATTTCAAATTTACAAATGGGTAACATATCTCCTTACATTTATTTATTGATTTTTAAAACACTATATAAATTACTATTACTGCCTATCAGACTTTGGATGAATTATTTGTATTGCATAAAATCATAGAACACTAAACAAATGCATCTTATATACAATATAATATTGTACAGAAATACTGAGATAATAATAATATGAAATTACTTTTTTTTCGTATTTTTTGTCAAACTCATTTTTAAAGTTTCTATGTATTTTAATTGTTTTTAAAAGATGTTAAAACGATTGGGTTTGAACACCCAACCCTCCCCCCCCCCCCGTCCCATGTGTAAACCAGTAAGTACCCCAATCACTGTATTTGTGTATTCGATTATTTTCCAACAGGCACTTGCGAGTTAAGTATGATATGTGTTACAGTATGTATTTGTTTTCAGTGAGAATGCACGTGCTGCACGAATTAAACTGGACGAAATTAGTATACGAACCTCTGCACAAGTTTGAGACTCAGATCATATCAACGAAAAACATACAAGGATACGACAGCAAGAACACGGAACAGTGGTCATTAACAGGCGCCCTGTTATACTCGGTCACGGTTATCACGACAATCGGTAAGCGTATATAAGCCCATTACACGTGTTTCTTGATTGTACATTTTACATAAATTGTAATACTTATTATTCGTTATCGTCACGTTACACGGAGTAAAACGATTTCGAATTAGATTCGAAACTGAAAGCCGGTGCACCGACCGCCACGTAGCATGCGCTTGATGCTTCGTCGTGAGACGTCTACGGCAAACTTTAATCTTGAACCGATCGTCTTATGAACTTTTTTGTTTAATGTCTTTGTTCGGAATTATTTCTATTTATATAAGAGACGGATTGTTTTTAAAGTTTTCAGACAGAGTCGGCTGTTTGGCTAGGCCTGTGTAATCGAAATTGACATTTTTAAATGAGGAATACAAAAGTTACGTAGTGTTTGTAATTTTAGTGATTTAAGTGGTTTCAATCAATTACTAAGAGGAGATTAGGCAAAATTAATATTTTAAGAAAATAACATAAACGATCGGAATTTATTATTTCATTACCTCAGTTGTACAATTAAGTAAAGCAATCAAACGATTATACAACTCTCGGGAATAATAATGGATTTATAACATATAATAATCAGTATTGAGTATTAGTATATATAATAATATAGTTGGTATGAAAATATTAATATATTTATCTACAATATTTAATACACATTTATTTTTATTCATATAAAGAAAGAGAGGAACCAAAGTTAAATTTATTATAATGTTTTAACTTTTTTCATTATATGATTCGATGTAATTTTTGTATCATTTAATTTTCTAAGGTAAAATATCGAACATTATAACAATATTTTGTACTATAATTAACTGAGTATATTACAGATTTTCCTAAAACAAGAGCGGTTAAGTTGAACATATTAATATACCTAGTAATATTTTAAATACTTTTGTACTTACTTACTTAGGTACCTATTAATACTTTTGTCGTAAACCATACATTTTAGATCTTTTTGTTACTTTGGTTTGAATAGAAAGTATGCAGTATTACTTTCTTTAATCAACTAATAAGACTATATAAATTATGGGGGAAAAAGGTAGAAAAGTAGTCATACTTTATAAGACACTGTTTTGAGTTACCTGCAACAAATGGGTGTGTCTAATTAAATTCAATTTGAGAGGTACTTTACAAGAAATTACAAATGTAATTTTGAGTGCATATAATTTGAAAAAAATGTTCATTTCGTGTATTTTAAACAATAAAATGACTACTAATAATAAAATATTAATATTATAATGTAAGATTTTTAACGATCTTGAATAAGAAAAGTTAGGATGTAATAATATAAATACTGACAAACCAAACTATCAAATTCATCCCAGTTACAAGATAACCTACGAAATTCCTTACTAAAGGTGCCTAAAATAAAATATTTCTATAGTGCAATATATTATATTTGATACTTCCATTCTTATATTAATAAAATTTAATGTAATATTCAATTTTGTAACAACTTAAGGAGTAAGAACATGAGAGTTTTAACAAAACGCTTAAAATAAACGATCAGATATTAATATACAAAGTGTCTAAGTAACTCCTCGCTGTTTAAAATGAAATTACTTTAGCAAATATGAAATAACTGAAGACTATGAATGAAGTAAATATTCACATCAGTTATAGAGTTATTTATTCACTCTTCAGTATAGTTCTAAAAAAAAATTATATTATTTACAAAAACATTAAATCTTAAAAAGTTGGCTCAAACTCTTTAAATATCGTGAAATAATGTAAATATTTAAAATAAATGAAAGTACACAAATAAAATAATATATGACAACGTATTTGAAAATAATAAACTTTCAAAGTATTTACTAAGTTGAATAAGAACCACATGAAGAAAATCCAAAGGTTGTTTGCTTTTAAACATATGTCTTAAATTTTTCTCCACTTGTTTTATTGTTTAAATAGTTATTGAAACTATATAAAAGATAAACACAACATATTTTATTACCCACCTTATAAACTTAACTTCTCGACAGGAAGAGAAAACTATTTTCTATCAAATAAAACTCAGCAAAGAGCATGCAACAAACACAAACCTTAGAGAACGATCATACGAAAATATTAAAATGACATATTATGCGGATAGAAAATTATTATATAATTATAAATATGTACATTTTATATATATATAATATTATATATATATATATTAATATATTATATAATATAAATATTATAAAAACAATACATAGATAAATCACTATAGGTATATTGCTTAAACTGAATATTAACAAGTCTTATAAATAGTTGCATTAGTGAAGCCAATACACACGACTTTGGAATTTAAAAAAAAATATGTAGATTTTAACATAGGTGGTATACTAATTTAGGTTTTTAGTTCGTAAATTGCATTATCATATACCTATCTACTTGCAGTTAGGTTTCTTTATATTGTCGTCATCCATATAATTAGACATTAGTAGGCAATGTATAACTATTTGCGTAGTAGGTACCTAAATATAACTAATTATCAAGTTTAGACTTATAACTTGAAAAAAAAGTAGTTTTAATTTCCATATTACTAAATTCAAAGTGTGACAAATGAAAACTTTTCAGTTACCTAGTATAATTATGTATTTATGTGTAATTCTTCATACATATTTGAAATTTTTGAACCCATTATACAGTTTCTACATACTATCACTGGATACGTAATTTTAAAATGATATTATTTTATAGCGAAACTGGAACCAATTTTCCTAATGAATTATTCCTTTTTATTGAATTATCCTACACATTATGTGATTTTACAGTTCACAATGCATTGATGCTGGTCTGAATCGTTTGACCTTATAAACTAAAACATTCATAACATGGTAATTAATAATTATTATAGCAATAAACATTCGTTATCAATTTCAAAAAGTATTAACAATTTGAAAACAAATAATATTTTGTAACGTTATTACCTATATTTTAATTGTTTTACAATATGCATTTCTAATTTCCCATTTCAAAACAGAACACTTTTTTGAGAAATTAGATATTATTTGATAATCGAATAGGAACGAGAAGTCTATTAGTTATGAGTTTATGACTTGATGAGAAGGTATATTTGACGTTTTGATAAGTAGAGTAGGGGAGTACCTATGTGCTACTCTACTCTGATTATATAAATTTTAAATCCTTTAATTATGTGATGAACGTCTTGTTTGAAATTGGATTTTCTCACACTAAAGTTCTAAGAAAAAACATCTGACTCAGGAATATTTAATTAAAAATCCTTTTGCCATGGAATAATTATTATATTTAAGCATAGATTATTATTTTACCTACTGGTATAAAATATTCTTGGAACTAAAATTCACATTTTATGGATAATTATTGCTTCTTTAAATTGTAACCAAATGAGATTTTTCTACAAGATTCCGATAATTATTTTTTTGAGAAGAATACGTACGACATGATAAGCGAGTAACTCGTATTTTAAAATTGTTTTTATAATGTTAAAATAAAATGGAAACAAATTGCTTATCTTAGTTATGTACTTTCTATCAATTACCTTTCTTAAGTTCCAACAATATTCATCAATAGAGATTACAGTTTAATATTTAATATTCATAAATAATGTAATGAGTTTGACGTGTCGAAATTACTTATAATCTTCAAAATCATTAATATTTGTTAGAACTAAAATAATGATCGGATAGCTAAGAAAATTTAATTTCAAAAGCAATTATTTAAATGATTGTTTTTAATTAAATATTTAAGTAATTTGTAAAGATTAAAAAAAGTTTTTGTTTCCCTTTTATGAAATAATGAATTAAACAAAGTGTCTAAACACTTTCAAAACGTACAATATATTTATAATTGCTAAATTAACATTTTAGAATGATCTATTGAATTACAATTTTTCTTGTTATGGCAATTACATAATTTAGCAAAAATTAAACCCTTAAAATTTGTACAATCGTAAATCGTTATATATTTATGATATACTATTCACAATACTGGGTGACTAATCATGCGGTATCCCTCAAAGTACAATAATAATATTAAACAGCATTACAATAGTAATGCTGTTTCAAATATATTTTATTACATGATTTTATGTCATTAGTTTTTTCTAAAAGCTGAAAATAACTGATAAAATGGGTTCATTTGAATCATTTGGATTTTATATAATTATTATGTACTAGCTGATCCCCTGCGCTTCGTTGCCCGTTAAATGTATCGACTATATAGGACTCAAACTTTGTTCAATTCGTTATTTAATATTCGGTGTATGGTGTTCAAAATTTATCTTAACTTTTCCGCTACCCGGAATAAAAATTCTGATTCACAGCAGTACATTGTCAGGTAGGCAATCTACCTGTGGTAGATCGCGGGCCCCGTGCTGTTTGTACAATTGTACGTAGGTGTATGATTTAACTAAGTTATACTAAACTTATACCAAGTTTGTTGTTTTTACTTAATTCCACCTATACGGTGGATTAATATAATCAATTTATACAAAATCCTATCCGATATCTGTATATATGAATAAAAAAAAACAAATTTAACCCTTTGTAAATTAAACTGTCTTCTTAACAGACGTCTAATCTACCCACAAACATTAATTTATACATATATATACCTAACTAAATACCTAACTAAACTATAATTATACAGACTAAACTCTGGAACTACTTTTTTTTTATACACCGGTGGATTTCCCTAAAATTTTCTATCATATAAACCTTCTACGTGAAATACTCTTTCGTTTAAAAAAAAAAAAATCAAGAAGATCCGATAAGTTGCTCCAGAGTTCAGAGTTCAGTTCCAGAGATTTTCATTTCACATTTTAGATTCTGAGTGGAACGATGAATGTATTGATTTTACAATGATGTGTGTAAATTTTTTATTTTATTTAATTTTTTAATTTTTAATTTTAATTTTTTAATTTTTGTGTCTGTCATCACCTTTTAAGACAGTAAAAGTGCTTGGATTCATTATCTTCAACGGTATCTTTTCTGATAGGAAAGTGAATCTAGTTGGTACTTTGGGGGGTCGAAAGTAAAAATTTCCCAGTAGTATTCAAAAGCGAAAAACAAAAGAAAAATTAAGGAAAAACAGAAAATATTATGATTTGTTTTAAACTGTTTAGGAACATTTTCATTTTCCATTTTTTTTTTAGTTTCTTTTCTAAAAATATCAATACAATTTTATTTGTTGGTTAAAAAAGCTTGATAATTTAATATTAGACTCCTAGTATATTGTTTCAAGGGCAGATGAATTATAATAAAAATCCTCAGTCACTGTTTTTTTTTATAAGAATTTAAAGTTCAAAAATTGACAATATATGGAAAAATCACGAAAATTAGCAAATTATTTTGAGTTAAGAATTTGTAAATTTTTTTTTTAAATCTAAGATTTTAAAATGTAATACAAGATTCTTTATGAGATTATCTACATTTATCAAAAAAAAAAAAAAATGTCTATAAAAAAGTTAAATTAAATTTTTATGAGCGTTTGAAATTCAAATTTTTACAACATTGGATATTTACTCGATTTCTCATGTAGCGATTTTCTTATTTTGTTGTAATTCAAAAACGAACAACTGTAGATACATGAAAATTTCACTAAATGTTTATATTAGCATTTCCCATACATCATACAATTTTCAAAATATTTTGACTCTTTTTGAGCTGTTAACGGACATTTACGGTTTTAAATTTTTTTAGTTTTTTTTTTATAAATATCAATAAAGTTTTATCTGTTATGCCAAAAAGTGTAAAAAGTTAATACAAGGCTCCTGATATCTTGTTACAATATCAGTTGAAAAATATTAGAAATACATAGGCACACAATTTTTTATAAACATTTAAAGATCGAATTTTGACAAAATGTATCAAATTTAAAATTGAATAATTATTTTGTAGATAATAATTTATAAAATACTCAACTTTTATATCTAAGGATTGAACATTTATAAAAAGATTCCACGTAAGTAGTTAATTCTGTTACCAAAAAATCTAAAAAATACATGAGCACAGTTTATTTGTATAGTCATTTTAAGTTCAAATTTGGACGATATTAGAATTTAAATAGATTTATTAATGAAGGAAAAAATGGGAGTGAGCATGATTGGTGAATCACTCTTTATATAATGCAGGAAACAATATTGAACCAAGTTTTATTCATTTTTCAAAATATTATGTTAATCTGAATTGTTCGTAAAACGTATTCGTCTCTAAAATTCGTTTAATCGATTTTTTTTTTTTATGTATATATATTTATTCATACAGAGAGTGTATTTTTTTCAGGCTACGGTAATTTGGCACCAAAAACACCAGAAGGCAAAATCGTAACTATGGTGTACGCATTATTCGGCGTGCCGCTAATGTTGCTGTGCATATCCAATCTGGGGTCCCTGTTGGCCGGCACTTTCCAGTTCGCGTACTCCCACTCGTGCTGTTTCTCCAAGAGGAAATCGGGTAAGGGAAAATATTGCATTTAAAAAATAATAATAATAAAGAAAAAAAATGTACCAGTCGCTGTAGGGTTTAAAACGTAATATTATCACGTCTGCAACGTACACCTCCACATTATATACGTATATTATGTGTTATACGTATTCGAGTGCTCTCCTCCCCCCCCCCAACCACCACCAGAGCCCAATCGACCCTACAAAAATCACGGATATCACGTGCGGCAGGTGAGAGGGGGGGGGGATAATGAAGTTCCGCTTCGACTTGATTGAATACCGAGACGGTGTTATATAACTTTATACATACCTACACACACACACCACCCACCCACCCACACACGCACACATATTATATATGATAATATATTATGTACACGTATGTGTGTATCGGGTATATAATATATAGGTATACGGTTTATGGCCATTATCAATTGTAATATCGTTAATGGGTTTTCATATATTTTAGCTCCTCCCACCGCGAACATCGAGCAAAGTTTTTTTTCTTCCGTGTAAACACCGCGCAAGTATAATATTATAGCACACCAAACCCGCATTATTATACATAAATAGTGTATACGTATTATTATAGGTGTGTAGTAGGCGAACGAGAAAATCTAATTTCGAGACTAAAACATATTTTTCCTGTAGATAATATTACTCTGACCTTTTCGCGTTCCCATACACTGTATTATATACATATATATATATATACATACACAATATACTGCTTTATGGGAGATTACTTAAAGAAAATTTCACGGTACACCAAAGGTTTTTTTTTTATGACTTTAATACATATAGGTATACTCGTGTGCGTGTGTGTGATGTGTTTGTTCGAAATATTACGCAAACTAATATTCTATTGTTAACACAAGGTATTAAATAACCTGAAGCGAAAAAATGGCTCGTTTAAAATATATTATCTCGGTGTATAATGGACTGAGTTATTTTTTTCCGTGTCGATGACGAACCCATAACATTCCATACGCATATTATAGTGTGGTTGACATTTCGTTACCGTGATTGGATAACAAGAAATAAAATCTACCTCATCATTAGAAACTCTAATACGGATATAACAACAAACAAAAACTGCGTGAAGAACAATTTTTTCTGAATTTTACCTACTTTTCTTTAATATTTCAAGTGAAATGATTATCACCAATCGATGATCTGTCGTGATTTCGATACCTTGATATTGAACTTGGCTGGCATTTAAACATGTCGATCGATGTTCCAAATATTAAAGTACCCATACAGAAGGTTAGATTAATTATTGTGAAAATATTATGATACATGCATGTCATTCGGACTGCACATTAACTTTACACCAAGAAATGGTATTTAATTCAGTGCTTCATGTAACAGTTATTTTGATTTATTGTTTTTTATTTCGTAACCTAAACATTTTATTGCGTTTCGTAGAATTTAAAAACAATCAGTAATGCAAACGCTGAAGATTACATTAATACTGTTTACTTAGGGTCAGATACTCAGATGAAATGATTTGTGAAGTTGAAAACATTTTAATCTATTTTCTCTGCTTTCTCTGAGTTTCGCTCGAATGTCATAAAAAAAACATCTTTGAAAAACACTTTTACATATAATGATAATTCTGCTGTAGTAGTATAAATAAGCTTGTCAATGTAGTGCTAGCTTAGATTATGAAATTCAAAGTTTTCTTTGTGAACTTAGTAAATAATTATTTATTTGGACGTATTTATAGAAGTTTGGTTTGAGCTGCATAGTTTACAATAGTATTTCAACTGAACAAATAAATATTTTACAACTACTATATAACTTAAGTATTTATTTTTTGTTCTTCGTAGAAATTAAATTACTAAGTTTCTACAAGTATGAAAACTTCAATACATTTTCAAAATATACCTACCTAAGCAATTATGTGTTCAATGTAAGACCTAAGATAAATCATCGGATTCTAAAAAAAAATATTTGATACCTTTTTCGTAAGTCATACATTTAGATTCCGTATGGTAAATTATTTTCTAACGATAATAAATAAAAAAGATTATTTAACACATAAAAATTCACAAATATTTCGGAAGTAGGTTTATTATTTTTACCACTGAAATGAAATTCTGTGTGCTTATTGCAACATCCACGCTTAAATGCAATTGAGTGGTAGTAAACACTTCAGTGTTGTAAAGTACTTGAGTAAAATTATTCAAATACTTTTTAAGTACTCAAATAGGTATTTTAAATATTTTCTCAAAGTATCTGTATTTATAATCAAATACTAATTATTATCAAATACTTTAATTTTTATTTTTGATTTATATATTTTAGACTCTAAGCGGAGTGATGAATATATTAATTTTACAATTGTATGTGTATAATTTTTTTTGTCTTTGAACACGATAAGTAGTCGAAATAATTCTTCTATTTTCAACTTCAGTATCTTATTCGATGAGAAAGTGAATCTAGTTAGTGCATTGAAGAGGTCAACATTCCCTGAAGTTTTCAAAAGTGGCAGAAAAAAGAAAAAGAAAATTAAAGGAAAACGGGAAATTTTGAGCAAAATCAGTTTTCGATAAACGCGATTTTGGGTTTTAAAGTAACTCTAAAACCAATGACAGTAGATAAATGAAATTTTCACTGAATATTTATATATTAGCATTTTTTATACACTATAAACTTTTCATTTTGTTTTGAGCTGTTTACGGACATTTTCAGTTTCTAATTTTTATAGGTTTTTTTCTATAAATATCAATAAAATTTTATTCGTATTAGGTCTAAAAGCTTGAAAATTTAATAAAAGGCTCCTAATAAATTGTTTCAATGACAAAAATATTAAAAGACAATATCCCAATTTTTTTATAAGTATTTAAAGTTCGAATTTTGGAAAATACATAAAAATCACGAAAAAGCGCAAATTTTGAGTTAGAAATCTACAAATTTTTCTTTTTAAATCTAAGGTTTGAACATTTAATACAAGATATCTATAAGTTTTTCTACCATTATCAAAAAAAAATTGTCAACCGGAAAGTCAAATTAAATATTTATGAGCGTTTGAAGTTCAAATTTTAACAACATTGGATAATCACTCGATTTCTCATTTTATTATTTTGTTGTAATAACTGTAAATACTTGAAATTTCCAATATATATTTATATTTTATCAATTCATATAGGTACTTGATAACATTTTCAAAATATTTTGACACGTTGAGGATGCTTACGGATATTTTAAGGTTTCAAATATTTTAGTTAGTATTTGTGGGTACTTGAAATTTCTCAAGTATCTATATTATTATATATACATATTGAAATATGATAATATACAAATAATATTAATTCAACTTACCAGCTACCGTATTAATAGTAACAATATAAATATAATATAAATTATCTTAGAATGACAAATCGTCTCCTCTTAGAATCGTTTTTCGTATACAAAGATATTATATCGTTGAATTGAAATTGTTCACCAACCATTACAGTAGCCCACTTGCAATCTACTGTACAGCAAAGCGACACCCACTTACCCGCTTTTCTATTTTTATTTTAATCATATAAAATAAAAATAAAATTTGAGAATATTTATAATAATATATTTTTTTACTGTGAATTATACTGAACCGAAAATCAAATACTTTAACAAAGAAAACAGTTGAGTAGGTATTTCAAAAAATATATCAAAAGATACGGTGTAAATGCTCTATAAACTTAACGTAAAACATGAAAATCAGTTCTGCTGATTTACATGGTAAAATGATATTTTATAAAAAATTTAAAAAGTATTTGAAAGTGTTTATAAATGTTTTTCAAAGTATTTGTATTTGTACTCAAATACTTTTTTGCTGAGTATTTAATACGTATTTTAAATACTTTTCTACAGTATCTATATCTGTACTTGAAAACTTGTAAAAATTATTTGATCAGACACTTAATGTAATATACCAACAAAGTACAATGGCTTATATAGCCGTATTGAGAGTTTGATCGGTGTCGTCTCTTTAGGACTTGTCAATTGTCATCTGGCACATATTATCACTAGATGTGGAAGGCGTATAAAATGTTTCAAGTTTTAATTCCGTGAAGCTGTAAAGTCTAAAAGTTGAACGGTGACCAAATGGATTTATCGTTTTGGCGAGACGGAATATTTCCTTTTTTGGTTCTCGGTTTTCACCTGTAATATGCCATCGTAAATTCAAATAGAAATCTTAGTGGTGAGTAATTGCGGAATGACATTTCTGGCATAGTTCCACTTCAAGAAGGAAGCAAAAATAAGGCGATAAAAAACAAACAAAAGTTTTCGGCAGCACATAAATAATTAATCCAATTAGGAGTACAGTATTCGTCTACCACGACACCGGTGACACTAACTATGATTTATATACATTTCGATTGTTATAGCTGTTTATTAGCCCCTTTTTTTTTTCTGGAGGACACCTGGTAATTTTTTACTGCAAAAAGTTTATTATCTCTGCCCACCCAAGTTGTGTATTTCAATCTTCTAGTGGCTTCATGATAATATAAATAATCTTATTTTGAAAATTATGAGGTGTTGACAAATATAATATATAAAAAGAAAAGTTACTTTCTTGCCGCTGTTTGAAAACTGAATTATTTTTTTAGCATAAGAAAATGCATTGCCTGGATTCGCTGTGTGCAATAAATAACGTCATGAAGAGTATCTGTCAAGTCTCAGTTTTTTATTATTATTTGTATTTATGCAAAAAGGTTCAACTCTTATTTTCTTTTGATATACTTAGCTGTTTTGTAGGGGAAATAAAGATGAGTGGATATATTATGTATATACTAAGAATTGTATATTATGTGAAAAAAATCCGAGATTTGAGAGTTGGGTGTGGTGATAGTATCTCTTTATTTTAAATAAACCGTCATAATATTAGCACCCAAAATATTAAATCAAATCATTTTTTTTTAAACTATAAATAAAACTACAACCACGAGACTACAATAATATTAAAAATAATACTCATAACACATTTAAACCGTAAAATAATCAATATAAATATTCTTG